TGGGGCCCAAAACTGCACGCAATACTCCAAATGTGGCCTGACCAGAACCTTGTAAAGCCTCAGTAGTACATCCCTGCTTTTATATTCAAGTCCTGTCAAAATAAATGCCAACATTGCATTTGCCTTCCTGACTACTGACTCAACCTGCAAGTTTACCTTGAGAGAATCCTGGACTAGAACTCCCAAGTCACTTTGCACTTCAGACTTCTGAATTTTCTCCCCATTTAGAAAATAGTCCATGCTTTTGTTCTTCTTACCAAAGTGCATGACCGCACACTTTCCCACATTGTACTCCATCTGCCACTTCTTTGCCCACTCTCCTAACTTGTCCAAATCCTTCTGAAGCCTTGCCACCTCCTCAATACTACCTGTCCCTCCACTTATCTTTGTATCATCTGCAAACTTAGCCAGAATGCCCACAGTTCCTTCATCAAGATCATTAATGTACAAAGTGAAGAGTTGTGGTCCCAACACTGACCCTTGTGGGACTCCACTTGTCACTGGCTGCTATCCTGAGAAAGACCCTTTTATCCCCACTCTCTGCTTTCTGCCAGACAGCCAATCTTCTATCCATGCTAGCACCTTGCCTCTGACACCATGGGCCCTTATCTTACTCAGCAGCCTCCTGTGTGGCACCTTATCAAAGGCCTTCTTGAAGTCCAGGTGGATTACATCCGTTGGCTCTCCTTGGTCTCTGCTCGTTACTTCCTCAAAGATATCTAGCAGATTTGTCAGGCATGACCTCCTCTTGATGAAACCAAGGTGACTTTACCCTATTTTACTATACACTTCCAAATATTCAGAAATCTCATCCTTTACAATGGACTCCAAAATCTTACCCACAATCGAAGTTAGACTAATCAGCCTGTAATTTTCTGTCTTTTGCCTTACTCCCTTTTTAAATGGGGTGTCACATTAACGATTTTCCAATCCCTTCTGAAAGGCAACTGGGAGTGGGCAATAAATGCTGGAACAGCCAGCAATGCCCATCTCTCTCGAATGAATAAACAAAAGAAGACAAACAGAAGATACCTACACCGTAAGACAAAAATGACTTTTAAACAAAAACTTAACTTCTTGAACTTTTTGTCCCTACGTATTCTGAATTTTACAACAAAATCCCTCCCTTTCAAAATCTTGTTTGCAAAGGCACCATACGTATGGCTGGAAAATTGTCGGGATATTTTTCAATCTCTCAAAAACACTTCATATTCCAGCAAGAGTGTATTTCAATGTTATGAACCCTCCAAGCCTACCGCATTGAAAGTAGATGCATTTCAGAAAGGCTTTAAAGCATGTCGATGTCAGAATGTCAAGCCTACTGCATTTGATTCTAAGGTCCGTATGACAGCTCAGGCTAACTATCCCAACATTGCAAGAGACTCTTGCACTAGTTTTTGGGATACAATGCTTTCATTCATACCTGTTTGACAAGCATTTCATTGTTCAGGGCAACTACAAACCAAAAATGATCTGTCTAAAGCCACAGATGGGCACTTCCATGTCTTGAAGGACTACTTGTGAAGATGCAAGGTACAATTCAGAAATACAATGCAAACCAGCTTCCCAAATAACTATTTCTGATTCTCTTAACCATCTTTGAATACTGCCAAAAGCAAAGCTATTTCTTTGGACCTGAAGAAGGATATGGTTGAGCCTGAGCTAGAAGATAGCCTCAGCATTGATCTCATACATTTTGGTCACAGCCAAGGAGAGCAGAGTCAACAAACCACCTCAGACGACAATCAAATGCAACAGTTCACAAAGATTATTATCATCAGCAAGTGGCCTGAACACACCCAATTGGTCTCCAAGCAAGCATGAGACAGAGACAAACTAGAATTCTCACAAAACATAATTTTAAAAGGTAAACAAGTGATAACTCCAAAAACCCAATGTTAAGATATGCCAGACCACATATGTAGGTTACATGGCTCAGCAGAAACAAAGGCATTGAACAACTGATCAAGCTGTGTTCAACATATCAATTTCATAAAGCTCTACAACTGAGAAAACCTTGGATTCCACACAAAATTCCTTCTGAGCCGCAGTGCAAGATTGCAACTGTTTTGTTTTTCTATGTTCAAGGACACCATTACAAACTGGCCACTGGTTACTCCACCAAACTCCCCTTGTGTGACAAATCAGAGAGTAGATGTTGTTGACACATTGACTGCCATATTCAGTATGAATGTGTGTCAGACAATGGACCACAGTACACTAATGCATCCTTCCGGGAGGTGCAGAAGGAGTGTCTGACATAGTACCGTTTGTAGATGGGCTCACAGAACACACTAGTCACACTGTAGAATCCACAATAGTCAAGTACAAAGCAACTTATCAAAAGTTTCGGATAACTATGTTAACTCTGTGTTCTACTCCTCAAGACAATAGTCTACCCTCACTAGCAGCTCTCATATTTGGAAGATAGGTCCATTTAGTTGTTCCATACCAACTGTCATCACCCAACTACGTCTGTAAAGTAAATTTTTGGAAAGCAGGGTGAAAACAGTACAAGAGCACTATTGACGAGAAGGCAAATAGTTATCTCAACATGAACCAGGACAAAGTGGAAGAGATCAAGATTGTAGTACAAACACATGGGCTCATGGAAAGATGCTATGATGTTGTGTCTAGCCTAGGTCATATGGTGTTGTAATGAGCAACAGTCAATTCCTGTGAAACAATGGTTGACATGTCCATGCTGCATATTGTCAATCACTTATCATCATGCAGGACCACAAGTCAGATACTGAATACATCATGCCAGAAGACAGTTTCACATCTATTAACAATGTTACACATCCATCTACAATGGCAGACACATTGCAGAGTGAAGCTACACAGTGAAGCCATCATAACAGTTTAAGGAACTAAATCTTGTCACATCATACATCTGCCAAAACATTATCTTAATGTGTAGACATAATATATCTATGCATCCTTGTACATGTTTGACGGAAGAAGATTCTTATTCTTTAAAATGGGGTTGTTGTATTATTGTATAGATCCCAGAAGGGCATGTACCTGTAAGACAGTTAGATGACATCATGACAAGTAACTTTCTGGTATTAAGATCCTTGCCTCCCCTTAGCAGTGTAGTCACCCATGGGTAGTGTAACAGCCATGTAGTATAACAATGGTTACCAAAGAACCAAGACTATATATGTCTGAGGTCTTAAAACAGAATAGATGGTGTTGTTAATAAGCTTCAAGACATCCATCTCAATAAGAACCCAGTCTTTGTGGTATATGTTGCATAAGAAGACATATTGGGAAGCACTAAGATCACATCATGCTGACAGTGGGTTTTTGACCCAAGAAGCCACATTATCCATCCCTCAAATTCTGCACTTTTGTTTATCTACTTTTGAAGTCAGTTTCTCTCTTGAGTACTTTTAGTGTGTGCTGCTCTCGAAATAGATCCAAATAACCCGATAACACAGTTCAAATGTTGTAGATTAACTGAACTAGGTTATCTTAATGTTCACAAACTGTGCATGTGTCCAAATGTCTATGTTGTTATCAGTAAGATATTCATCAGGTTAGACACAATTCAAGTTAGATCTCGGCACTGAATACTGAAAAGAATTGCTAAAAACTGCTGAAATATCAATGTCATTTGGAGTGACTGTTTCTGTACAGAATTAGATGCCTAGCTCTGAACCTGTCAAATCTAAGATTTGTCATGTGATCCTTACATGTCATATGATATTATACCAGTCGGTGGCAATCTTGTACCACTTAGTCTCTATTCCAGCTGCAATGTGAATGATTTCTTGTCGACATTCATACCTCTCCCAGAATAACAGTGACTCAAACTAAACGTATTGTCTTCAAACTAGGCCACGTTTCTTCATGCAGGTCTTTTGATGGTTTTCACAGTGTCGGAAAATGACAACACATCCCACATGTTTACATTTGGCCTGAAGAATTTTAATCACCTGTTCTGAATGATGAGTTGGCATGTATTACATGGAATAAAATCCATAATAAATAAAGATATTCATACCGTGTTCTGTACCATCAAGTTACTTCCATTATTTTTCACCAGATGTTCGAAGGTATCGATTGGACCATGTCTGTGATTTCTGCTTTTGTTGTTAGCTTCTATTCTAAACATTCCACCCAAAGCGTTAATCTTTATCCAGCAGAATGGATTAGATACAAAGTATTGTAAACTAAATTTTGAAATGGTGTCACTGGCATGTCTAGGGCTTCTTTAGTGATTGTAATTCAACCAATTTAGGCATTTGGTTAAGAAGGAAAAGAAGCTGTCACGTGAAGACAAAACTGAGATTCGCATCTTCACTGATAGTGGGAACTGCCGATGCTGGAGAATCTGAGATAACGAAGTGTGGAGCTGGATGAACACAGCAGGCCA